CTCTAGTGACAGATGTGTGACTTTGGGTGATCAAATTATTAAAAGGTGTGAACGATTTAGATATCTTGGGTCCGTTGTCCAAAGCGATGGTGATATAGATGGGGATGTTAATAGTAGAATTCAAGTTGGTTGGTTGAAGTGGAGGAATGCTTCGGGCCTTTTGTGTGATAGAAAAGTACCGCTAAGACTGAAAGGAAAATTTTATAAGATGGTGGTGAGACCTGCAATGCTCTATGGCGTTGAATGTTGGCCTTTAAAAGAGAAGCATAATAATAAGTTAAGTGTTGCCGAGATGAGAATGATTAGGTGGATGAGTGGATTTACACTTAGAGACAAAATGCGGAATGAATATATTCGTGATAGGGTTGGTGTAGCTCCTGTGACAGACAAAATTAGAGAAAGTCGTCTTAGATGGTTTGGTCACATTAAATGTTGACCATCTGATGATCCGATTAGGAGAGTAGATGTTTTAGATTCGACTTGTGTTAAGAAAGGCAGAGGTAGACCTAGGAAGACTTGGGCTTATTGTATTAAAAATGATCTTAATTTATTAGAACTAAATGAAAATATGACACTAAATAGGACGCAATGGAGAAAAAGGATTCATGTAGCCGACCCCACATAGTGGGATTAAGGCTTTGTTGTTGTTGTTGTTGTACTCCTTGCTCCCCTTCTCAGATCACCAACGCCTTGATTTAGACTCACTGGCCTCCGAGCATGATTGTGGAAGGGAAGAAATTAATCGTTTTTTTTTCCTCTGAAAATAATAAATGGATTAGAATTTCAGATGTATATAATTTATTTTAGGTTCATTTACATAAATTTCACACAATTCTTATCCATTTACATATCCAACTCCTAAACTTTCATATTTAGATACATATCACTCAAATATTTAGCATCAAATCAAAAATACCATCATTAATAACTTTTTAAAAGTGAAATCCACCTTTTGATGTATAGATTTATAACACCAAAAAATTATAAATGTAAATATAAAACTTTAGAGGTTAAATATGTAAATCCAAAAGAATTGTGCGGTATGCATGTAAATTTCCTTTGTTTATTTCATCTATGAACATAAGCAAAATGAAGATGAAATTCAAACAACCATTAAATAAAATAAAATAATTACAATAAAAGTGATCGTAAACAATTCCTTACTCCATGAGCCATTTGAGCACTGTCACATATCTTTCATCTTCAAAATTCTATTTTTTTCATGATTAAATGCAGCCCGAACCCGAGTTCCGACCGCCAATGTCCGAAGTTGTTCAAGCTTTGGTCCGGCTCATGCAGAGAACAAGTCTGGTCAGGAGGAGCTCAGCTGATGAGTTGGGATTCTCTTACAGGATTCCAGAGCATGAAGCAACTCCTGATATGTTCTTGTAAGGAATTTTATGCTTTGAAGTACAGAAATGAAAACAAAGGAAACATACAGGTATCAATTGCAATATTTTGTTCTGAGAGTTGTGCCATTAACCCATTCTGTACAAGCTTTTCCTTTTTTATTTCTTTATTCGGAGGCTATTTGAGATTAAATTGTCTATTTTGCAGATAACTAAGAAATAGATGTGTTGTTTTGTATGCTTGGATTAATCAGCAATCCATGGTAGAGTACATGCAGAGATTTTTTTGAGCTTGTGTTGATCAAATCTTGAGGGCAGGCAATGTTGTTTTTCTGTTTGTAGTGCTTTAATAACTAAATTTTCACATCATGTAACATGATAGATTGTTTACTGTGCCTCTCTAATGTATTGTCATAAATTTTTATTTCTCCTCTGTTTGTAAATAAAAGAAATATTTTTAGGGCAGATTGGTGTCCTTTGTAATTTTGTTAATTGCAATGAAGAGTACAATTCTAAGAGATAGCACAAGATTGAAAGTTTGTTCTTTCGAGTGCAATAACATGTGAGGATGTAAATTACAGATCATTGCAGTTACATATAGCTATGCAACTCAGTAAAGTAAACATGCAAACTGGAAGCAGTGGATGAACCAGCATAGCATATGTTCTTTATTCAAGTGGAATATCATCAGAACTGTGATTGTAAGCAAGTATATTTCTCCAAGTCAAAACTTAGCAAATACCAAGGGTCTATACGTGGAAGTTTTCGCACTATTTTACTTATTTAAACTATCATATTATTATTTGTCTACTTCTATTTTGCAACTTTTAAAATATTTTAGTGATGAAGAATTAGTTATGTTGAAGGATGTGTTTGAGGCAGCGGTACAATGGCAGTGCGGTGCTGCACTGTATTTTGTGGCGTTTGACAACATTTTGTTTGCATGTTTTTTTTTTTTTTTAATTGTGGTGGGAAGTAAAAGGAGCTATGGATATTCTCATCTGATCAATCTATTTCTTTGATGTTGGACTCACCTAAATCATCCTCTGCTTCACCGATGTCACCTCTAGGTCTCGCTCTAGCTAGGTCCGATGTTAGCAGAAAGAGAGTATTTATATTAGTAATAAATCATGTATAATGTTATTTTGCTATATTTATAAGTTTGCTTTGTGATTTGTTTATATATGTGGGATGGTAATTAGACTGTTCGAATGAAAAAGATTATTAAGGAAGCTTTTACTTATCTTTCTCCTGGCTTAATCTCTGTCTAGGTTCTCTGTTCTCTTTCTTTTTTCTTTTCTCCATCTTCGTCTCCTCTGAGTTGAGAGTTTTTTTATGGTATCAGAGTTGCACGCTCAACAATCAATATGGAATCAAGTTCCTCAACATCAACAAAGGATAACTATCAACCCACCATATCCTTTCAAAAGATAAATTTTCCATAAAAGCTCCTCAGTCCATTTTTTGATATATAGCCTACATCACAAAGTTTACTAGTGTTTTGATATTTAAGCCAAGAAATACATTTTCTCTCGGTACATCATTTTTGTTGAAGATTCATTTCCTTACAAACACTCGCCACCTCAATCTCTGGCCAACACAACTCCTTAACTAATCACTATACCTCCCTCAGTTCTTCTCCTCCTCTGTACCAAGTTACATACACAACCCACTTCCACTTCACAAACGAACTTAGCTTCTTCTCCTCAGCCTGTTTATCCCATTGTTGTTCCTACTACTATCACTTCCCCTCCTCTAAACAGTTCTACTGAAGCCTAAAATCGTCCCTCCTTATCTCCTATCACCTCTTTACCCTTTGAATCTCCTAAACCAAAGCTTAAACACCATCACATGGTAATAATAAAACAAACATGACATTTAAACTAATGCAAATTTTTTATCTTCAACATATTATCAATCTTACCGAACCTCCTACCACCTACAATCAACCTATTAAGAAACCTCATTGGAGACAAGTTATGTAGATGAATTTATGGCTCTTCAATAGTAATGTACTTGGACTTATCCCACCTACTCACAATCAAAATATTCTTGCAAGTAAATGGACTTTTAAAATTAAATATCACACTGATGGTTTTATAGCCAGAAACAAGGCTCAATTAGTTGTTCATGGTTTTAAACAATAACACAGTATAGATTACAATGAAACTTTCAGCCCTGTAGCCAAATTTCACACTATTCATTTACTCATTGCTCTAGCTACCTCCATACAGTGTCAAATTCAACAATTAAAATTTTCAAATGCTTTTTACCCGATAAATTAAATGAAACTATTTTTATGGCTTAACCTCCAGCTTTTACTGATATTAATTACCCTCACTATGTTTGCAAATTACACAAACTAATTTATAGGCTCAAGCAATCCCCCGGGCAATGGTATTCCACCTTCAGCAATTTTTTATACAGTCAAAAATTTATTTTAAGCACTGCAGACCATTCCCTTCTCATATATAACCACAATCACACCTCCATTTATTTACTAGTTCATGTATATCATATATTGATTAGTGGGAATTTTACTAAGGCTATCAACAGTCTCAACAAACAATTTAACTTAAAGAGATTAGGCTCTATTTCTCATTGTTAAGGCTTACAGACTGCCAAAATTCCAATGGATATTTTTTAAACAAAACTTAGAATTAAACAGAGTTAATAAAAAACACTGATATGTCTCAAGCAAAATCATTTTGAAGTTCTTGATGCGATAATATAAGCCGGTAACGAAGTTTTTAACTAGCCAAAAAAAAAAATCAATTTGAAGATGTTGATGACAATGAAGTTGACAAATCAAAATTTCAATGAAAACATTTTAAAAGAATAAAAATGTTCAAACTGAGAGTCTAAAAAATAAATAATATATTGTCTCTGATATTATTAATGACTTATAAATTAGAGTTTTAAAGATGTTATACAGTTATAATAACTCTAAAGAGGTTAGATATATATATATATATATATATATATATATATATGATAAAACCATATATAAATGAGTAGACATTGGGATGTTTGGACACCATCTTGACAATACTTATAATTAAGAGAGGGCTGTGAGCTGGTTTATTGATTGAGAAGTTGAAACAGTGGCTGCCAAGGGAGAGGTTCTGTAATGCATCAAGAGAGAGTATCTGTAGAATCCGTGTTAGTCCGATTCAAGTGCATCCAATTTAGGGATCTCTAGTGTTCAAATTTGAGTAAATTTGATTTATTGAAATCTCTCTAATGAGATGATCTCTTTGACTCTAATATATAGTTAATTCTTATTTTTTTTTGGTCTAAATGTGAGATGAAACATATACTGATGATCAAAATAAAAAAAAAATGCTTAATAATACATTAAATTTTGCAATCCTAATAATTAAAATTTTGGGGTAATTAAAGTAGCATCTATTGATCTAAGAATATAAAATAGAACAATGTGATTTGCTTACATGAGAGGTTAAACATATACTGACTTAATGGTTAGATATTAGAAGACTCTGTCTTTGAAAATATTGGATGATAGAGGGTTGAAATTCAAGGTATATGAGTAGGGGTGTAGACGAGCCGTACACGAGCGAGACCAGACATATATCATTATATAAATAATATGTGTAATATATTTTTATATAAATAATTATATATATTTTTTGCTCGTTTGCTTAGCGAGCCGAACACGAGCCAAAAAAGAAAAGGCAGTCAAACTCCGCATATACATGCCCGGTCCTAATTCTATACATCAATATAAAATACGGAAAATTAAGATAAGATTTAAAAATTATTGTTTATATTAAATCATCATTGGAATCTAATTTAATAATTTTTATTATATTTTCTTAATTAATATTTTTAATTGATTATAAATCTTTGTAGCCTTTTTAGTCAATTAAGTTTTTTAAAAATACTACTCATCAAAAATACACACACAAATATATATATATATATATAATTAGTGGTATTTCGAGCCGAACACGAACGAATTAACTTAGCGAACGAGTCGAACACGAGCTTCTTAACGAGTCGAACGTGAGTTGTTCGCGAACAACGAGCCGTTTTGACAGCCCTAATTGTAAACAACCATAATAGTTTTTCTGGAATATGACGAGCTGTTCGTGAACAACGAGCCTTTTTGACAGCCCTATATATGAGTACAAAATGTAACAAATTTTATAGGGGTATTTGCATATGTCGCACACAATTCTTAATGTATTTATATACCTAGCCCCTAAACTTTCATATTTAACAATTAAATTATTTACATTACTTAAAAGTATCACTATCATTTACTTTTTTTAAGTAAAATAGATGTTTTCATACATATCTTTTTTTTATATTAAAGCAATATAAATGTAAATATCAAACTCAGGTGTTAGATATATAAATGCCTAAGAATCGTGTGGCACACATGTAAATTTTTGCAGTATAAAGAAAATTTTTGGTACAATTCGACGTCATTAAATTACTAAGGTCCTTTAGGGGCTATTTTGGTTTTCTAAAAAGTAACACAGCATAAAATAAATGCAATATAAAAATATATATATTGTATGTAAAATAAAAGTACTATTTTATATATTTTTTTATTTTATTTGAAGTAGAATAAAAATAATATATTTCAAAATATGTGAGGATAAGAAGGGCAATAGAGGCGGGGCGGCAAGTGGTAGTCAGTGGAGACGGTGGCTGGCGAGGGTGAGCTAATACGCGATCTACAATAAAGATGGCTGGTGACAACACTTTGCATTTGCCCATGTATTTAAAATTTAGCCAAATTTATTAAATTCCAAACATAATAATTAAAAAATAGTATTAATTCAGCATATTTTGGTCTGTTTATAATTGCAAATATTATCAAACACCTAAAAATATGACTAAAATACAAAAATATATTGTGTTTAGAGTGGGAATGCATCCACACAACGAACGCAATGAACAGAAAAATAGAAGAAAAAATAAAATGAGACCTCACCATTGAATAATATTTTCTCCCAAAATAGCCCCTTTAAAAGAAAGAATAGAGATGGGACTATCGACTAGTAACAGGGAAAAAAATTGTGTATTTTAGATATACACAGCACTGCTTATGTCAGTAGGTTACATAAAATGTATTTAGGAGTTATATACTGTAAATTTCTGTGGACCTACTATAATCTATCTGTAACTACAAATATATATGAATAGAACGCAGAACTTAGAGGTAAGTTACACAAATATATATAAATAGAAGCGCGGAATTTAGAGATAAGCTGCACTGTTACAGTAAACATGGCGTCGTT